CAAAACCCACAAGATTATGCTTGCAATATTAGACAATGCAAAGCAAATGGAAGCAAGGGATGACACAGTCATTTTGGCCCTGATTCAGGAAATTGCTTAAACACATGCATGAGGACATCTTAGTTCAGGAAAGAATGTAAGTACAAGCTTAAATTTAAGCACGATGAGATTTTCACCTTCGCTCTGGCCCCTGGATCCTGGATCCAGCAGCTGGAGTAGTGGGAGGAGATACTGGAAGTCCTCTGTACAGCAAAGGCAGGTGAAAAGGTCTCCTGGCAGATGAACTGAGCTTGATGGCCCTCCAAGGTGTGGTGTAGGAGGGCGTCCGAATGAGGGCAAAGCTACGAGCTGGGATTTCTGTACAGATCACACTTTAGAGAGAGGACGAGGGAGGCTGCCTAATTTGCATTGGCCAAAAGCTCTTGTAGGCAGCACAAACTCCCAAGATCATGAAGATACTTTTATGTGACCTTTGTTGCTTCTCCTTCTAGTTCTTCTTTGCTTCTCCCCTTAGAAAAGCAGCAGATTCTCACTTCAGGAGCTTAAATACCACTGGCTTAAACAGGAGTTGGGCACATGCCTAAGGTCTGAGAATAAGCATACTTTCGTACCTTGGGGTGATCAGTAAAGGTAATGTTTCCATTGCAGTCAGCAAGCAGAAGGAGATAGAAATACTGTACTTAGATCTGTGGAAAAGGAGAAACTCTTGTTGGTTCTCTTAATTAACGCACTACCAGAAAGTAACAATGAAAACATTCTTTGCATTTCTCAGGCACTGCAGATAAAAGGAGTTACATGAAGTACAGTTATATATCCTAGGTGGTGAATACTTCTTGCCAGAAGTGTTCAGGCAGATTGTAACACGTTATCTCTTTAAAAATACTTAAGTTAAAACACTTGTTTCTAGATGTCCTTTATCTCTCATGGCTGTACCCCCTGTTACCAAACTAACAAGTATATTATTCAAATTACGGAATCAAAAGTCAGGGAAGGTTGCTATGGGTTGCGCTAAGATAATAATTTTGCACTTCCTATGTGTTTTATACTACATCTAGTACAAAGAGCAATTCATTCAAGTTTATATTTAGGGTGAGAGAATGATAATAGAGTGGTTGTGTGATGGCTGCTTGGACAGAGTAATCTTAACTTCAGGAATTTCCTCACTGCTTGGAGTTTCTGACTGCAGCTTCCACAACAGAACAGCCTGTTTACCCTATGTGTTGAGCAGCAAGGCACTCTTCCATATTTTATGCTACAGTTTTTGCATCAAATTTTCTAGAGATTTTTTTTCTATTTTGTAGGTAGCTTTAAGGAGTTATAAGAGGGAAAAAAAAAAGAAAATAATAATATTTTACAAAATATTAGCCAATAAAGAACAAAACCTCCTTGACCTACCCTGAGGACCCTCACACTCACCAGTATGGATTAGTTAAGCTGTTTCTGAATTTCATTTTCTGAACTGCTCTGCTTATGTGTCTATTACTTTTTGCTGGATTTGCCAGCAGACCATGGAAATGTGAAACCCTCAAAATATCAACCCAAATAAGACTGGTTCAAAATACCAACCTAAATAAGAGGTTCTTTGCAAATGTTATTAAAATACAAAATGGTTGTATAATAGTACACCTTTGCATCATTGTGGAAAAGAATATTCTAGTTCCCTCTCTTTCTCTTTCAGTTATGCTACACCCTAATTACAACATGAAAGCAAGAGTTCAAAAGTCAACCGCAGAGCTGATGGCAGGGCTTCATAATTACCATACTTTCAGTGGAAACATTTTCCCAAATAATAACAACTGGGTTTGGTCTATTTTTAAGACCAGCATTCCAGACCTAATCCCAGACTCACCACAATACGCTGTCTTTGATTGCGTGGGATCAAAAACTCACCTTGAAGGTGTAAGCTAGTTTTGCGAACTGCAAAATTGTTATTATCTGCTTTTTCCTTGTCTATGCATTTTCTTCTTAATGTTGCAAGACTTTTAGGTTTGTCCACCAAATGATATAAAATGACATAGCTAATGATAGTGTTACCAAAAATATTATTTCCCTTTTAAAAAAGATATTTTTATAGAATTAAGTGCACGTCATTTTTGAATATGATGTTTTATTTGCAAAAATGTAAATGATCTTTTCACTAAACAGCAAACAAAATGATGTATCTCTGAAAAATATGATAATGCTTTTTTAAGGATGTGCAGATGGTGCAGTTAGAACATCTGCAGCAACAGAGGATCTGAAGAGAACAGGAATTCTTTGAGAGGATGAGTTACTACCTCCAATCTATTTTTTTGCAATTTTTTCACAATGTTCTTTACTGAGAAGCATCCTCTACCCTGGAGTGCTCAATATTTGGCCTCTTTTCAGAGCTTCTACTATACTCAAGAGAAAATCTTAATCATAAAGTCTATTAAACATTTTAATCAGTCCACAGTCCATTTTTCAACGTCATCAACTCAGTGTTTTTATTTGCATCAAACAATGTTTATTTACACAAACAGAAAGCACCTTCATAAGCAAGAGAGTCACGTAATGGAGGAGGGTTAGAGAAGGTCAGCAAGGATGGTCAGAGGTATGGTACCGTTTCAGGATGAAGAATCACTATGTAATCTTGCACTTTTCAGTCCAGAAAGAAAATAACCAGGGAATATGTTAGAGGTCTAAAAGACAGTCCCTTTCAGGGAGAGGATAGTGTGGATTGACAGCTCACTGCCTTTTCAAGAAGTACGGTGTAACAAATGAAGCCAGCAGGAAGTGGGTTCAAGCTGGACAAAAGATGTGGTTGCGCTGTGGATCTCCTTGCCGTAGGATGTTTTATGTGACAGAAGCTTACACAGGTACACGGGGACGCTGAGCAAAGCCAAGGAAAAGAAACCCATTCAAGATAGCTAAGTGTTTAGAAATGGCATGGCCTTCTTGGCCGCCTGGGCACACTGCCGGCTCATGTTCAGCACTCCCAGGTCCTTTTCTGACAGGTAAAATGTCACTTGCACTTTTCAGTCCAGAAAGAAAATAACCAGGGAATATGTTAGAGGTTCAAAAGACAATCCTTTTTAGGGAGAGGATAGTGTGAATTGACAGCTCACTGCCTTTTCAAGAAGTACGGTGTAACAAATGAAGCCAGCAGGAAGTGGGTTCAAGCTGGACAAAAGATGTGGTTGCGCTGTGGATCTCCTTGCCGTAGGATGTTTTATGTGACAGAAGCTTACACAGGTACACGGGGACGCTGAGCAAAGCCAAGGAAAAGAAACCCATTCAAGATAGCTAAGTGTTTAGAAATGGCATCTGGTTTAGAAAACCTGCAAATGCCTGGAAGCTGGAGGAATACATGTGGAAAACATCATACAGTCTTGTCTTGTTTTTGTACTCTTCCCTAGACATCCTTTTTTTGTCCATTGATTTGATTACAGAGGTAGATGAATCCTTGGTCTGACGCTATGGGGCTACTCTTCTGTTCACATATTTTGGTCCCCTTGGTGGCAGAATTGGTTACGTGTGCAAATGTGCAAGTAAAAATTTAATGAAACTTATGAAGCAACTTTTAATGATCTTCCCTACCATTATACATCCTTCCATGTCTCAAGAAGAAACTGGATTACAGTGATTACATAGTAGGTGCTGTGCTTGAAGATCATCAAGGAGATAAAGAGCACTTCACAAAAAATGGTCTCTGCCTAGACTATATGTCTAGTTTCATCTAGTCTAGAGTAACTTCTTCACAAAATTAAGACATGTTAAATATATCATTTTCAACATCCTCACAAAAATCTGGCTTTGGTTCTCCAGTTCAGAGGTGCTCAGACTATTAAACTACCTGGGGAATGATCATAGAATCATAGAATCATTAAGGTTGGAAAAGACCTCTAAGATCATCGAGTCCAACCGTCAACCCAACACCACCATGCCCACTAAACCATGGCCCTAAGCGCCGCATCTACATGTCTTTTAAATACTTTCAGGGATGGTTACTCAACCACTTCCCTGGGCAGCCTGTTCCAATGTTTAACCACTCTTTCAG